TATTATTACTAAAATTACTAATATATATAATTTAAATAAGTAAAAATTTATATAATTACAATAATTGATAAACTAAAATTACAAAGAATTAGAATTTCTTAATTAAAATTTGAGAGGCCAAACTTAAGCTATTAACAAAGGCCAACAGAAATTCTTTTACGAACTAATATACTTGAAAACAGAAATGCATTTAATTAATCAAATATAAATTAACAAAGGCCAACAGGAACTAAAGCCGAAAGGATGTATATTAAGAGATTACAAAGTTAATTAATTCTTAATTATTAAAAATATAATCTAAACTTTCTTATTTTATTAAATATTTTAACATATTTATTAATTAGATAAATTTTTTAAGACTAATAAGCGAAACCCAATAGAAGTTGAACCCACGTGACGTCATAGAATAAGATTTTGTTAGATACTTTGAATATTTTAAAAAAAAGTATGGAAAAAGTGTATTATTAATTAACTTTTTCTTTTTCATTCACGCTCTTGTCACCGTGATGCCGAGAAACCTTACCGTTACCCATAGCATCATTCTCATGGAATTTCAGTGCCAAAAGTCAACATTCTGATGGATGAAGTATGCTCAGTTATCTTAAACTAATCATCATATATCATTAACCCACTGCCAGATCTATCATCAATTACTATCATTATGATCAATTTCTTTCATTACCACAAAACATAATAATTACTTTTATCAGGGAAAACAATATAAAAAAATTACCATAATCATGATATTACTTCTTGGTGTACCAACATTCCGCCATGGTCATGTAATTTACGGAATCTTAAGTCACATCATTCATATGTTGTATTTTACAAAGCTCAAGTTTTTAATCCAAACTTTTGTAGCAGGGAAGAAAGTTTATAATCCAAACTTTTGTGGCCGACAAGTATAAAAGAAAAATCTTGCTAAGCAGTTGTTTAGAAAATTGATCGAGGAATCAATGTAGTATAAATACCCTAAAGAAATGTACGTGTAAAGAAAATTTTAATTTAAAACTACTGTATAATAAAGTTATACCGAAAATTAAATGTGTATATATACTTCTCCATAGAAATCTACAGAAGTGTTAAATATAGAGATATAATTTGTGATTAAAATGAACAATTCAAAACTGTACGGGTAAGGGCGTTCGGCCAAAACCCTATCTGTTACCAAGCGGCAGAATTTGGTGGCCGACACCCAATCGTCCACCTAGATTGGCATATGCTCAAGTATTACCCCTAATCAATAATTCGGGGTTAATCATACCGATAAATCGATTAGGGCGTATTACCTAATACGGTAAGCATGTTGTAGGGTCCATGGGAATCAGGGCTCATAAATGTCAGTATAAATAGTTCATGTCACAAGGTAACGTCACTGTTCATTAATTATTATCGATATCTGTGCTTTGTCCTGACTTGAGCGTCGGAGTGCCTTTTGTAGGTACTTTCCTCTCACTGGAACGTTCGATCGGAGCACTCGTTCGGCCCTCAGAGTACAAGAAGATTACTAGTGTGCCCTTCAGATAGGTACAAAAACATAGTTGGTCAATATTTTTTTTGAGTCTTATAAAGTTTGATATGAAGGTATTTGTAATTTTATTTATAAATTAGATTTCTTTATGATGTTAAAATTGATAAGGGAAAATATAAACGTTTTTCATTCACATATAAAAAAAGATTCATCATTTTTTTTCTTTAATTTAAATTGTTAGCTTTAAGCAAGTCCTCCAAAAAGTTAATGTGTGTACTGATTTTTTGACAAAGCATCACGTCATGTATGATCAATCTATGTAAGTTTGAACAAGCAACCTCCCTCAATTTGCTTGCCTTTTGCTAGTCAATGGCATGAGTAGGTTACATATTAGAGTATTTGTTTTTTATTTTATCTTTACATTTTATGAAGCATAAAATAATACTTCTCAATAGAAATTTTTACTTTTAATTAATGTCTTAAAGATAAACAAATTCGTTTGTCATGACTAGAAGCTTATTATCACGAGCGGTGTAACGACTCGCCTAACCGTCACACTGCAGAACAATACCACACAAGAGTAGAACATACATACATAAAAGAGTATATATACATATATCCAGCTTGAGGCTCAACAAGTCAAAGTATATCTAATACTAACAAAATGCTACACCAAGGTAGACTACACAACAATCAACTCCAGTCACCACCTATGACACTACTGTTACTCTCCAGCCTATCCCTACTCTGCTCCCATACATAGTATAATCACCACAGTCCAAATCACATGAAAACGTGCAAGGGTAAGCTAGTGAAAATAATCAACATATAGATATAAACAAAATACTACTTCAACAACAAAAACAACATTTTCAACAGTTCAACAGGAATGATGACCTAAGAATGAACAAAGGGGTATAAAATTCTTATTATTTTTTATTATTTCTTTATTATCTATTTGTTTATTTTAAAATTCCAATCCATCTTATTAGAACAAAATAATACAAACAAATGCGCACACAGATGTTCATGCTTATGGGCTTGCTTATTCGATCGATTCTGGTTCTATCCCGTCTTGCTATTGATGTGTCTTTCTTTTCTTGGTGGCTATATGAAACCACTTGTATGGAACGCCCTTGTTGGGGCTAGCTTTTTTTTGACATGATCTTGGCTCTTAAGGCACTGTCTAGTTGTTGATCTTTTTTACGAGTGTTTCGGCCTCTTGATTCCTCCAACAAGTGATGGATAGACACATTCAAGCTGTCTCTCAATTTTCAGCTCGAACAAACATTGCTTCTCAATTTTATTATTATTTTTTTATATTTTTTGGCTAGAACGCCCTTTTCGGGTTTTCATTCTAGCAGCTTCTTAACAAGCAATGTTTCTCTTCTTGTTGAAATCACTTTTCGAGAAAACTCTATTCACTTTTCCTTAGTGTTTGAGTTCGTCCTCCTCAGGTTCTCTTTATTAGCTTGCAACTCGTTAGGAGTGTGGATCCATCCATTCCTAGTCGTTTCTCCTATTCCACTTGGATTTCACGGTTTCACGACACGCTTTATCCTCTTGGGGCAAGAGTTGGCGTCTTGAAAACTCTTTATGCATATGGCTTACATCCCATTACTTTGGACTAATGCACATAGGTTAATTTCCCTTTTTATTCTCATTTATTCTTTTATAAGGAGGGATCTGTTCTAAATGAATGTAATGCAGAATGTAGAGAAAGTTGAGAATGATAAATATCAGTCTCATTGATTTGTTTATCTGTGAATGCTTAAATAGATTTTGACAGTATTAAGCGAGAATCTATACTAGATTCTAAGAAGACTTACTTCAACAAACATATAAAAGCAAGGGCCTAACCATAATATTTTTTTAAAAATCAATTTGGGCTTTTTCTTTAAAGCCCAGATACTGTCGTATATTAAAGCATTCACTTTTCTTAACTTTCTATACATACTGCAACCTAATCCTCCATAGCTAATAAAATAATGAATGGAATTAATGAGCTAATCTAGAATGCATGTCATTTTTTTTGCCTAATCTTTATCATGTTTCTATTATCTAAAGGGAAATGATTCATGGTAAAGATGAGATTTCTTTTATTCATTTTTTTAAAAAAAAAAGAAACTACCTATATGATGTTAATGGAATGATGACCTAAGAATGAACAAAGGGGTATAAAATTCTTATTATTTTTTATTATTTCTTTATTATCTATTTGTTTATTTTAAAATTCCAATCCATCTTATTAGAACAAAATAATACAAACAAATGCGCACACAGATGCTCAATCAACGTACACCCACGAAAGATCGTGTTCAAATCCTTGGTCTGTGGTCCCTGTTGAGAAAAGTGCATTGTATTGGAAGGTTCTAACCTCACTAGTCTTTAAGGACCCCAAGGTGCCCCCATTATAGGGACACAGTATCTCTGTCGCCGTCACCTGAGAAACTCTAAGGTCACAACTTG